GCGCTTCCGGCACTTGTGGCGAATGTGCACTGGTGCCAGCACAGAGTGTTTGAACACAGTCCAGAGGCCATCTGTGAATGTCAGCTGTGCAGGGATGGCCGCGGCACTTTGCACCACCGTCATTTCCGGTGCATTGCATTCGAACCGTGGCGCCGTGAGAACCTGGATCATTTGGTTGCCAGGGCGGCTCGGAAGGTTGGACATCCCCCGACTCCAGCTGGAGAACTCTTCAGTATATATTTGTTTCCCAACCCTGCGGCCTGGGTGAAGCGACCCCCTCGCGACCCGCTGACTCCGTGCACGCGTCACTTCCAGTGGCCTCAGGACGGCCCCCTGTTCATTCCCGAGGGGGCGCGCGTTTTCACGGACGGGTCGGGTTTTGAGGGGAAGCTCACAGGCCTAGGGACCGCGGGGTGGGCAATTGTGGTCTGGTGCTCGACAGCCAAGGCAGAACCTTGGCCGCCTTGTTCGGTGTTGTGCCGTTCGGGGAAGCGCCTTAACAACAGGCACGCGACGGTGAAGATTTTGCGGTGCTGATGATCTCTCGCCGATCGGTCCTCTCCTCCAATGTCTCGCTCTATGTGGACTGCGCTGCCACAGTCGGGTGCCTCCGAAACCTCACGGGGGCCTCGAGTTCGAATTCTGCGCGGGCCCACTGGCGGGCTGAGATAGGGGACCGTTTGGAAGGAATTTGCGTTCATAAGATCCCCTCCCACACCTCGATAGTGGACGTGCGCGAGGGCCGGATCACAGAGATGCAGCGGTTTGGGAACTCGGAAGCGGACAGGCTCGCCAAGGAGGGGGCTAAGCCATTCCGAATTGCTGCGGCAGACAGACAGCTGCTCACTGGTTATGCTGAGTTTGTGCGGCGCGTGGGCGTTTACTGCGCTAGCCAGCAGGCTGAGTGCAGAGATCTGTGTTTTAGCGATCACGTGAATCTGGAATGGCTAAGCTACGTCCTGCTCGACGCTATCCCTGGGTTGCCCCCTTCCTGGGGCGCAGGGACCCCCTCGGAGGCGCCTGGTGGTCCAGGGGCCTCTGGGCGGGGAGGCGGGCCTCAGGAGGCCCTTGGGAACCCTGGCAGCGAGCAGCCTCCTGAGATCCCCCCTCCGACCCCTGGAGCGTGGATCCAGAACGGGCACACTCTTGAGCAGGGTGATGTTTATGAGTCGGATAGGAACACGTTTCATGGTTCACTTCTGTGTTGCACCTCGTGTGGTGTTGTTTCCCACACCAGCACGAAGAGAGGTAACGTTCGTTCGGTTTGTCGACCTTCGTCGACTTCGGGTCGCTCGTTTTATCTGGACAAATTCTGTGTTGGTGTATATCGTGGCCATCGGAATCCAAAGGGTTTCACGCTGGCGTACATTGGGGCCCCGACCCACGAGGTTCGGCTAGAATGGACCCCCTTTTTCGCGGCCTGGAGCAGAGGCCTCCAGGGGGGCCCGAAACAGTCTCGGGGAGCCCATCCTTCTCGTCGCGAGGGGCCAGCAGCCGGCCTTCAGAGAGGTTTGGAGCTGGTCGGCCTCACGCGCTCCGAGCTCGAGATGCTCGGCGCGGAGCTCGAGGACAGGCGGCGACGGGGCGAGGGCCTGGAGGAGGAGGACCCCGCCTTCCCCGTCTAGCCCGCCCGTCCCTCTTTGCATGATTCTGTGAAGTGGGTCACTCCCCTCGTGGTCGTGCGCGTCCTCCTCCTCCTCCTCCTCCTCCTCCTCCTCCTCCTCCAATCCTCCTCACGTCCTCCTCCATCCTCCTCCTCCTCCTCCTCCTCCTCCTCCTCCTCCTCCTCCTCCTCCTCCTCTTTCTCCTCCGCCTCTTCCGCCTCCTCCGCCTCCTCCTCCTCCTCCACCTCCTCCTCCTCCTCCTTCTCCTCCTCCCCCCCTCGGTCCGCGCGTCGGCGGGCGCGCCAGGGGTCGTTAGGAGAGATTCGTATAATCAGAGCCTTCCGAGCCCTCTAGTTCTTCGAGTTCCTAAACAAGCGTGGTCGGCTCGGCGAACCACGCCCGCCTACTTCAAGTAGGATCCGCCCCGAAGCCGACGGCCCGACCCTCACACTTCGGGACACGGAGAGGTTTTAGGGGCCAGCCCCACCCGAGAACTCTTCAGTCCTCGGGGGCGGCCGCCAAAAACCAGATTCGGACCCCACAAGCCTCGGACCAGGGGCCGAAACACGCGAGAGCGGAAAAGGCAGACCCCCAAAAGTACCATATCTGGGCGCCCGACCAAACAGCAGGCGCTCCAGGGTCGCCCTCCCCAGACGGACCGAGGCCCTGGGCCGAGACGTCCAGGGGCGACACTGCCTGGCCAGGAGGTGGGTCTGCCGACGGGCATATGCCCCGCACAGTCTGCAGAAGACGATCGACTCGTCCCTCCCGAGGGCCCGACCGTCCCCCACCCCCCCCCCGCGTCCCACGCCCACCCCGCCTCTTCCTCCTCCTCCTCCTCCTCCTCCTCCTCCTCCTCCTCCTCCTCCTCCTCCTCCTCCTCCTCCTCTCCCCCTCCTCCTCCTCCTCCTCCTCCTCCTCCTCCCCTTCCTCCTCCTCCTCCTCCTCCTCCTCCCCTCCTCCTCCCCTGCCTCCTCCTCCTCCTCCTCCTCCTCCCTCCTCCTCCTCCTCCTCCTCCTCTCTCCTCCTCCTCCTCCTCCTCCCTCCTCCTCCCCCTCCCCCTCCGCGTCTCCAGATCCACGGCTCCACAGGCACCCGATGGCCCGAATGCCACCCGCGCACTGGGCGCCACCCCCCCGCCCCGGGCGGTGGCCGCTCCCACGGCCAGGCGGGCTGCCGCGCTTGTGCCTCGCTTGCTCAGGTCTCGCGGCGCCCTCGCTCACTCGGCGGGGCCGTTCGATCGGCGGGTCCTGACCCTCCGCCTGGCCCGCCCCTCGCCCTCTCTGCTCCCCCCTCCTCCTTCCCTTCCTCCCCCCCTGCCCCCTCCCCCCCTGTCACCACCATGAGCCTCCTCCTCCCCTCCCTATTCTCCCCATCCTCATGCTCCGCTCCAGCCTCGTCGTCTTCTCCCTCCTCCCTCTCCCAGTCTGTCGATGACCCAGTCCGGTCCTTGTTGCTCCGATTTTCGAGGGGTCTGAGCAGCAGCCAGCTGCCTTCGGATGGTTTCATCTCGTGCGTGAGGTTTTTTTGATTTAGAAATCATTCCCCGGAGATCCGATGTCGTGCTTTTTGTCAATGCGGGGTCCCCCGAAGTTTCGACCCACTCCGCAGGACCAGGTGTTCCATCCCGAATCGTTTGTTTCGACAGTCCTGCAGCTCAGCGCGGGCCTCCAGAGGCCGAAAACAGCGACTAACTTCTGGTTTGATTGTCCATACGCTGGATCTCTAGACCCCTCCTTCACCTCCCATCCTCTCCCTCCCTCCCTCCCTCCCTCCCTCCCTCCCTCCTCCTCCTCCTCCTCCTCCTCCTCCTCCTCCTCCTCCTCCTCCTCCTCCTCCTCCTCCTCGCTCTCCGCCCAGCTCGCCCCTCCCCCCCCGCCGCCCGCCCGCCCGGCCGTCAGGAGCTCGCCATGGACTTTGCGGTCTTCGGCCGATACGTCGCCAGCGAGGGGGAGAAGGAGGCGGGCTGCCGCCGGCGCTGCCGCTGCGGGCCGCCGAGAAGGGAGGGGGTGAGGAGGAGAAGCAGGAGGACCAGGAGGAGGAGGAGGAGGAGGAGGAGGAGGAGAAGGAGGACGGGGAGGGGGAAAGGGAGGAGGAGGAGGAGGAGGAGGAGGAGGAGGAGGAGGAGGAGGAGGAGGAGGAGGGGGAGGGGGAAGGGGAGGAGGAGGAGGAGGAGGAGGAGGAGGAGGAGGAGCGGGCGGGGGAGGAGGAGGAGGAGGAGGAGTCTCGTCTCGAACCCATTCAAGCAACAATCCATGCCTGGTCGTATCTGCTCTGGGTTGGGGAGCAGGCTATAGCCTCGCCCCTCTCTCGCTCCACATCGCTCTGGGGCCTGCCGTGCCGAAGAAACGCTGGCACGGGCGGATGCGCCCTGATTGGCGCCCGCACGGGGGACACCGTGGTGAGGCGTTCACGAAAATGGGAGTGCTGCGTCGAGATTGCCCCATCGTTGTGCATCTGATCGCATAGCGTGCACCGAACGCCATGGCAAAAGTATCTACGGCGCGTGCATTTCGCGGGCGGCCTCTTCGTCGGCTGCGAAGGGGTCGGGTTCCTGAGCGGAGGGGTCGGGGTGGCACACTGAGGCCGAGGCGGACCCGAACAGGCGACGAGGGGAGATGGGATCCCTGGGAGGCGGAACGTTGCGAATGCTCTCTAGTCCAGACGGCGGTCTCACTCTGTGGTACGATGCGGCGACAGGGCTCACTTGGGCCTGCCCTTGCCCTTGCCCTTGCCGCCTCCGATCTTCCTGGCCAGGTTGCCCCGCGGAGCCTTGTTGACCAGGTGGCGTCCGCCTGCTGCGCGAAGCTGCTCGACGATGAGAAGGTTGATGTCCATCACGCACCCTGGCATCGAGAGGATGGTGGTCGGCATCTCTGTCGGGCTCACCTGCTTGATCGTGTCGTCGCCGCCCCCCTCGATGGCGGCCATCAGCTTCTCGTGGTCTGACACCTGCGTCGTCATCAAGATCTGGCCTTTGAGAGTGGGGAAGAGGAGGGAGGGGAGGAGAAGGGGGAGGAGCAGCAGGGACAAGAATGAGGAGGAGGTTCGCAGGAGGAGGTAGGGGCAAAGGAAGGGGAGAGAAAGGGGAGAGGAAGGAGGAGGAGGTCAAGGAGGGACAAAAGGAAGAGAAAGAAGCTCTTCTTCCCACCCCTCGTTTCCTCGCTTGCTCCTTCCTCCACTGCCTCCCCTCCCACCCTCCCCGCTTCCCCTCCCCCCTTCCTCTCTCGCTTCCTTCCCTCTGCGTCCCGTTCCTCCCCTACTCGTTCTCGTTGTCGCCGTCATCCTTGTCGTCGCCGTCGTCGTCGTTGCCGTTGCCGCCGCCGCCGCCGTCGCCGTCGTCGCCGCCGACGTCGCCGCCGCCGCGGGCGTCGCCGCCCGCCCTGGCCCCGAAAGGGCGGCAAGCCCGTCTACTTGGGCCCGAAGTCCGAGGGATCCCGGCCCAGCATCGCGTTCTCGAGCTCCGGGGGCGATGGGAAGCCCACGTGGTGGGTGTACGACATCTCGCAGGGCGAGTGCTTCTATGCCGAGGTGGCGGGCCGAACGGGCTACGCTCTGTTCTACTCCTCCTCCTCCTCCTCCTCCTCCTCCTCCCCCTCCTCCTCCTCTTCCCCAGTCCTCCTGGTCTACGTAATTTTCTCGTCGTCCTCGTCCTCCTTATCCTCCTCTTGATCCCTTCTCCTTTATCCTCCTCATCCTCCCTGTGTGAGTCCTCATGTGTTGTCCCTTCTTCTTCCTCCGCCTCATGATCCTCCCCAGCCCCCTGGATTGTCCTCACATTGTTCCCACTAGTCTTCACCATCATCTGTATGTTTCTCCTTGCACTTCCGCTCTCTATTTTGCCCGATGCAGTGATGCCACTGTTCAAAATTATCCCGGCAAAGCAACCTAACAGCAATGTGTAGAAGCATATCTGGAAGCATTGCCCTTGAGATTCATGTAGGAGTCCTGTTGTAGAATTCTGGTGTAATCGCAGTCGCAGTCGCAATCGCAATGGCAGTTGCAGTGGCAACGGCAGTCGCAGTCGCAGCCTCAGCCTCAGCCTGCCTCAGCCTCAGCCTGCCTCAGCCTCAGCCTCAGCCTGCCTCAGCCTCAGCCTCTGCCTAGTAGTAGTAGTAGTAGTAGTAGTAGTAGTAGTAGTAGTAGTAGTAGTAGTAGTAGTAGTTAGTAGTATTAGTAGTTAGTAGTTAGTAGTTAGTAGTTAGTAGTTAGTAGTTAGTAGTTAGTAGTTAGTAGTTAGTAGTTAGTAGTTAGTAGTAGTAGTTAGTAGTAGTAGTTAGTAGTTAGTGGTTAGTAGTAGTAGTTAGTAGTAGAAGTAGTTAGTAGTAGTAGTAGTAGTAGTAGTAGTAGTAGTAGTAGTAGTAGTAGTAGTAGTAGTAGTAGTAGTAGTAGTAGTAGTAGTAGTATAGTAGTAGTAGTTTCGTAGTAGTCGTAGTCGTCGTTCCGTAGGTAGTAAGTAGTAGTAACTTTCGTAGATTAGTACTAGTGGTAGTAGTAGTAGTGTTAGTTGTAGTTAGTAGTAGTAGTAGTAGTAGTCGTAGTCGTAGTCGTAGTAGTAGTAGTAGTAGTAAGTAGTAGCAGTAGTAGTAGTAGTAGTAGTAGTAGTAAGTAAGTAAGTAAGTAAGTAAGTAAGTAAGTAAGTAAGTAAGCAAGTACGTAAGTAAGTAAGTAAGTAAGTAAGTAAGTAGTAAGTAGTAAGTAGTAAGTAGTAAGTAGTACGTAGTAAGTAGTAAGTAGGCAGTAGTAAGTAGTAAGTACCAAGTAGTAAGTAGTAAGTAGTAAGTAGTAAGCAGTAAGCAGTAAGCAGTACGCAGTAAGCAGTAAGCAGTACGTAGTACGTATTAGTAGTAGTAGTAGCAGCAGCAGTAGTAGTAGTAGTAGTAGTAGTAGTAATAATACTAGTAGCACCAGTAGTAAAATGCAGGCGCTGCAAGGCGTGTCTGTATCCGTGTTTTCATCGCATTTGAAAATAACCCGGGAATCTCAGCCTGCCTCAGCATCAGCCTGCCTCAGCGTGTGCAGCCTTAGTCTGCCTTCAGCCTCGGCCTCAGCCTCAGCCTGCCTCAGCCTCAGCCTGCATCAGCCTCAGCCTCAGCCTCAGCCTGCCTCAGCATCAGCCTGCCTCAGCGTCTGCCTCAGCCTGCCTCAACCTCAGCCTCAGCCTCAACCTCAACCTCAGCCTGCCTCAGCCTCAGCCTGCGTCAGTCTCGGCCTCAGCCTCAGCCTGCATCAGCCTCAGCCTGCATCAGCCTCAGCCTCAGCCTCAGCCTCAACCTCAGCCTCAGCCTCAGCTTGAGCCTGCATCAGCCTCAGCCTCAGCCTGCCTCAGCCTCAGCCTCAGCCTCAGCGGTGGATTCCCCATAGTCACTGGCGGCGCTGGGGGCCTCACCCCTCAGCCTCAGTGGTGCGTTCCCCAGAGTCACTGGCGGCGCTGGGGGCCTCAGCCTCAGCCTCAGTGGTGCATTCCCCATAGTCACTGGCGGCGCTGGGGGCCTCAGCCTCAGCCTCAGTGGTGCGTTCCCCATGGTCACTGGCGGATCCGCGGATTCTCCCCGGATCCTGCCCGGACCCCCCTGGGGAGTCATGATGCTTTCTTTTGAGACCATTAGAAACCTATCAGTCTTCGCTGTTGGGTAAAAACAGCCATTCAACCTCATGAAGTTATAAAGAACCCCCCCCAATGGTTACCAATAGCACCGCACCGAAACTAATAGATTACAGGGGGGTTAGCCGAACGAAGATTTTAGCACCGCGCCAAACAGCAAAAGCAAAACAATTATCCACCTCCCCCCACAACCGACATCTATGATGAGGACTGGCGGCAAGAACGCAAAGGCCTTGACATTCAGTCCTCCTTATCACCATCGTTATCATCACCACCATCATCAGCATCAGTATCACCATCAGCATCATCATCATCATCAGCAGCAGCAGCAGCATCATCATCACCCTGCTGACGGTGGGTGCCGGGATACGCTTCCCGGCGCGGGAAGTTTTATCTTTTTGCGGGGGCCTTTAATATTTTCATGAGGTTATCTTGTAGTTCCAGTCTGGCATTCTGCAAGGATACCCTATGTCAGGCTCGACATGGGCGCTAGCAATAGGTCCCATTCGCACGAAATTGGTTGAGCAGCGAGTTTCGGTGCAAGGTCGGGGGGCGTACGGATGACACGGGAGTTGCTCAACCAAGACTTACCGATTTGTCGCGCATCTATGTTGTCTGACAATATGCAAAGATGTTTGCAAAGTTTCGTTTGCCAAGTGCTAAGATGGTGATCGTACAACGTTGGGCCTGAAGGCACGAACCATATCCGCAACTTTCTGCGCGAAGAGATCCCCGCATGGCAAGGAGCTACGATTTGCCCCGATGTCAGATACCTTGGAGCTCAAGTTGGCCCATAGGGCACAGAACGCACCGTCTTGACCGAGGCTGTGCAGAAGTGACGGTCACGCTCGTTCGGGATCCCAGCCTTTGACAGTCCTACCAATGTCAGCCTGCTCCTGTGCCATAGCACGGCGCTCTCTGTGTTTAGCAACCTCGCGCAGCTTTTCCAAATGGACCACGCAAAAAACGGGGTCGTCTTCGCCGACATTGGCGCGTAAGCTCCCCGCATAAGGTCGCGCGTAAGCGCCCCCGTCTCCAATGTGGCGTGCAGCGCCGGCGGCCCGCGTAAGCCGCCGCGTGAGGTCGCTACGTCATCTCGCGTAAGTTCCGTTTTCGATCGTCGCCCAAATGGACCCGAGGGCCTTGCAGAAGGAGCAGTACGCTCCTGCTCCTCCTCCTCCCCCGCCCTGCCAGAGGGGGGTCCCCCCTGTCTTTTTCAAGGTTAACCCGCTCCCCCAAGAAGTCGGGTTGCGCTGAGTTCACGGCCAGATTTTGGGTATGAGATCGAGTAACTCATTTGGACTCCCCGCGCATTGCTCCTTGCTCATTGCTCCTCCTCCTCCTCCTGCTCATCCTCCTCCTCCCCCTCCTCCTCCTCCTCTTCCTCCTCCTCCTCCTCCTCCTCCTCCTCCTCCTCCTGCTCATCCTCCTCCTCCTGCTCCTCCTCCTCCTCGAGTACGCCGTCCGCAGGAAGTCCTCGGGCTCCCACCGAGCACGTGTTTCGCAAGTGCGCGAGAGGCTGCGGCCTTGCTCTCCTTCGCTGGCCTCGGCACGGCAGCTCTCCGGAGCCTGCGCCGCCCCTCGGTGCCGCCAGTCCGCGGCGCCGCGCGCCGCTCACGCCATCAGTAATTGTCGGCGGCGATCTCACGATCGACCTCGCAGTCCATCTCAATATCGTGATCGTTGTTCATCCATTGCTTTGCCGATCGGCGCCCCCAACGGAGCAGATCTTGGCTGTTTTTGGGCGAGTGTTTCGAGCAGGTGGAGCCTCTCCCAGAGGACGCAGTGCTGCAAGCAGTCGCGTCAAGCAGAGGTCCAGCGCCAGAGACCCCCCCTCCCCGTCCCCTTTTCCGCCCAATGCGAGAGGCCGAAGAAGAAAACGTTCACACCCAGATCACTACAGTCGGGGCGCTGAAGAAGGAACCCTTTTCATTGGGGAGGGGCTCCGTGTTCCTTAATTGTTTCGCAGCTTGCCTTAGGTTGTCCTTCGGCTTTCGATATGAAATCGAAGTTTAACTTATGGAAAATAGGGGCCTCGTTCCTTATTTAGGGTTCCTTAGGTCAACGCCCCGACTGTAATTGTGAAACCATTTACTGATTGGGTTTTCTTTTCTCTGGCGTACTTCGATGTGCCTGCTGCAGTTTCTGGCTCGTCCCACCTCTGGTGGCCCCGCGGGGCCCGAAAGCGGACCCCTGAGGCCGACATTCAGGAGGAGCGCTGGGACTGAAGAAGCTGCCCTCCCAGTGGAATGGGACTACCTCCGCCCTGCATCTAGACCTTGAGGCCTCTTCTCTGGCCCCTTGTGTGCTCCTAGGTGTCTTCTCGGCCTCCTGGAGGCGAGCGCGGGGGGGAAGTTAGAAGGGGCGGGCCTTCTCAGAAGCCTCGGAAGTCCCCCCGCCTAGTGAGAAGGTTTCTGAGCCTTCCCCGGAGATATTGAAAACCCCTCAGAAGGCGCGAGGGCTTCTGAGAAGTCCCGCCGCCTTCTGAGAAGGCCTTCTCCTTCTCATTTCTCCCTTTCGCTCGCCGCCGAAATTCGGCAACTGGATTTGACCGGTGGCGCGAAACAGTCGCACAGACCCTCGCGGTTGTGAAATGGTCTCGCGGCGAATGCAGTGCTGAATGTGGGAAGCAGACCAAAGGCATCGCTCGGCGTTTCCAGGAGAAGTTGCAACACCCACAGTTCGCGATCGTATTCGTATTCGTTGTTTTGCCGATCGGCGCGGGCCCTCGCCCCCCCCCTTCCTCCCCCCCCCGTGGAGGAGCAAATGGGGCCTTCCCTCATAGGACGCACTGATGCAAACAGTCGTATTCAGCAGAAGTCGGGAGCCTTTGTCGTGCTCGCTCGATCCATTCGCAGATTGGAAATGCAGGAAAGTGTGGTTCGTAATTTGCCACCGTTGGGTTCCCAGCATCACCGTTGAGCAACACTGCCGTTAGCCCGGATTTGGATGCTGCAACACCCACCGTTTCGGGGAAGCTTGAAAGCGATTTGGAAGGCTTGCCACGTTGCTCGCCGAACGGTGATTATTACAGCTGCCGCGGCTGGCAGCAAACCCAAAGTTCAGCGGTCGGCCTCTTCTGTCCCCCGTGCGAGCCTCCACCTGCGACCCGCTTCAAAGCGCGATTGCCAAGCGTCTCCAGGCTTGGGGTTTCTACCCTTGCCGGTCGGCGGGGTGGGCGAGCGGAGCCGGGAATGCTTGCTCGCATCCAAGAGGATGCAGTACTATGGTTTTGCAGGGAGGGACCGCTCCCCACCCACGGTCGCCGAGGCATTCCGTCGTGGCGCTCTACGACGAGTGCTTCCGGTTCCACCCCCTGCTCGCATTCAAGAAGATCAGGCTTGCATGGCAGCGATCGAGCCTTGAGGCCCTGGCGGACGGCTGAACCACCAGCCATCGCATCCACATCCCCAGCATCATGTCGGGCGTGTCCCCCATACAGGGAGATTCTCGACGAAAAATCAAAAATACCCCAAACATACACCAAAAAGGTAAACAAAAAAAAACGTCTATTTTTGGATATTTGTTTGACAACTTCTGGGGTAGTTTTAACGTTTTGTCGGAAATCCCCCTGCAGGGGGACAGGCCCGACTTAACCCCAGCACTGTCAATGTTCTCTTCGGGTGCTCTGAGCGCGATTCCATGTGACGCCACTTGTCGTGTCCTCTCCTCTGCGGGCGCCTCCGTATCCCCTCCAACCGATTGGCTATCCTCGGCATTGCTGCCTGCAGTGAATGCTTGCGCGGGACATGCCCGCTCTCACGCACCGACGCCATGACACGCGGCGCCCTCGCTTTCCAGATGTTTCATAAGCCCAGAGCTGCGGCGACCCACGGGAGCCAGCTCATGGACGCCCAACACAGCGCAGCACTCGCCGCCGCTTTGCACGCCACGGAATGCTAGGATCGGAGAAGGCGTTACGCTTCAGATACGGTGGATGTTTATGCTCGTCCTCCTCCTGATTGTCCTTCTCCTCCCCCCCTTCTTCCCGCTCTTGGGCGCTTCCTGAGATCGTACATGGGGGTCTGTTCGGCTCCGCCTTCTCCTCCGCCCACGCTCTCCACTTCCGCGCCCCCTCCCATCCACATCCCCTCCCCCCCCCCCCTCCGCTCCCATCCGCTCTCGGCCGCCCCCCCTCGCGCCCCCGCCCCCTCCCGCTCGCCCCCTCCCTCGCCCATCCCCCCCCCCTTCTGCGTGTCTCGCCCCTCGTCCCCTACCTCGTCCGCCCCACCCCCCCGGCCCCCGCATCCTTCGGCCCTTCCCCCGCCCCCCATCGCCCACCTCCATTGGCACATCCCTTCCCGCGTTCCCCCACCCCGCCCCCCCCCCACGCGCCCACCCCCGGAACGCCCAGCTGAGGTACACGGACCCCTGCTCGACTCCGACTTGCCACCACGGCTAGGCCACCCCTCTGGGGAGGCGGCTACCAGCGATGGCGGCGTCGGCGTCGTCGTTGTCTTCGGCGGCCCCCATCGAGGCCCAATGCCGCGGAGGCCTGGGGGCATGCGCGGGGGCCTGAATCGTGGCCACTTCGGTTTCGGAAAGGGCTCATTTCAGTTTTCTCGGGGCGCTCCACGTGAGCCTGGTCTGTCGTCGGCGGCCCCCATAGGAGGCTGGATGCCGATGAGACCTGGGGGCCTGCGTAGAGACTGGAGCAAGGGCCGCTTTGGCTTCGGAGGGGGCTCGGGGGTTCATTGGGTCATTAATTCATTTGTTCGCGGGATGTTCCTTGCAAGCTTGGGCGGAGGCGGGTTCGCAAGTTTAGGCGCAAACGGAGCCACTGCGGATCCCGCGTTCCCTGGTTGCGGTTTCTCATTGTGATTTTCACGTGACGCTCGGGCGTGCCGCCGCCAAGGCGTCGCCGTCCCCCCTTCGATGAGTTCTCGGTGGTGGCGGTCTCTGCTGCTCCTCTGGCACTACAGTCGACCTGCATAGCAAGGATGAGCGACTTCCCAAAGTTACCACTGCATCCTTCCCCTTCGGCCTTTCGGCCCATGTTCGGCCGCTTTCGTTGGCCGCGCCCTGCTCGCAGAGTGTCCGCATGACCTTCCAAGGCCCTTGCCTCCCCACCGTGCGTCCTCCTCCTCCTCCTCCTCCTCCTCCTCCTCCTCCTCCTCCTCCTCCTCCTCCTCCTCCTCCTCCTCCTCCTCCTCCTTCTGGCGCTGGGCCCGCGGCGGCAGCCCCTCTCGGGGCCCGTTCTCTCGCAGGCCCCGTTCTCTCGCAGGCCCCGTTCTCTCGCAAAGTGTCCACATGACCTTCCAGGGCCCTTGCAACCTCACCGTGCGTCATTACGATACGGGCGGACCGCACACTCGAGGTACCAGAGCGCGAAGACCACGGCGCGCTGCACAGCGCGCGCGCGCAGATGCCGCACCCCTGCTCTGGCCCAGAGGCCCACATCGAGGAGGAGGAGGGGGAGGAGGTGGAGAGGAGGAGAAGGGGGAGGAGGAGGAGGAGGAGGAGGAGGAGGATGGGAGGAGGAGGAGGAGGAGAGGAGGAGGGGAGGAGGAGGAGGAGGAGGAGGAGGACAAGGGAAGGAGGGAAGGAGGAGGGGGAGAAGAGGAAGGAGGGAGGAAGAGGAGTGAGGAGGGGAGGAGGAGGAGGAGGAGGATGGAGGAGGAGAGGAGGAGAGGAGGAGGAGGAGGAGTGAGGAGGAGGAGGAGGAGAGGGAGGAGGAGGAGGAGAGGAGGAAGGAGGAGGAGAGGAGGAGGATGAGGAGGAAGGAGGAGGAGGAGGAGGGAGAGAGGAGGAGGGAGGAGGGAGGCGGAGGAAGAAGAACGAGAGGAGTGAAGGAGGAGGAGGAGGAGAGGAGGAGAAGGAGGAGGATGAGGAGGCGGAGGAGGAGGACGAGGAGGAGGAGGAGAAGAGGAGGAGAAGGAGGAGTCAGGAGGAGGGAGCAAGAAGGAACGCGAGAAGAGGAGGATAATTGAGGATGGAGAATGGAGGATGGAGAAAGAGGAGGAGGAGCAGGCAGAGGAGGAGGAGAAGAAAGAAAAGAAAGAGGACATGGAGTAGGAAGAAGAAAATGACGAAGAAGAAGAAGAAACAGAAATAGAAGCAGAAGACCCAAGGGCGAAAACGCGCGAGTGAACAAGTATGAGCATACACAAGTATGAACACTACTGCCGCCGCCGACGCCGCCCCCGCCGCAGTCGACGCCGACGACGACCACGACCACGACCACCACGACCACGACCACGACCACGACCACGACCACGACCACGACCACGATGACGACGACGACGACGACGACGACGACGACGACGACGACGACGACGACGACGGCATCGACGACGACTTCGACGGCGGCGGCGACGACGACGGCGAGGCCGCCCCGGCAGGCTGGCGGCGGGAGGGCGCGGACCGCGAGGCGGAGGAGTGCCTCCGCTCGCCGGCGGCCGTCGTCGCCGTCGCCGTCGCCGTGTTCGTCCACGGTCGGCCGTCGTCGACGATGGCCGTCGACGGTCGTCGTCGACGATCGGTCGTCGTCGACCGTCGTCGACGGTCGGTCGTCACCGACGGTCGGTCGTCGTCGACGGGTGGTCGTCGGTCGTCGTCGACGGTCGGTCGTCATCGACGGTCGGCGTCGTCGACGGTCGGTCGTCGATGCCCCATGGTGTTGTTCATGGTTGACGTCCCAGAAACGGTTTTTGTTGGCACGGTGTAGGGCTGCCAGGGCGAGTCGCGATGTTGATGTTGAGGTCCCAAGAGTTGTGTTCTGACGCGATTCAGGATCGTCGGTACGCAACAGCCGCTCTGATTCGCGGCGCTGAAGTCCCAGGATTGGTGTTTTGGCACGGTTCTGGATTTTCAAATGGTTGTTGCCCAAGGAAATCCTAAGATCTTCCAGGAACGTATGAAGAGGGAACGTGGAGAGAGGGTTTATTGCACTATCGTTCATTGGTCTTGGGTTCACTCCGGTCTTCCTCCTCATCCTTCTCCTCCTCCTCCTCCTCCTTCTCCTCCTCCTCCTCCACTTCCCCTCCTCCTCCTCCTCCTCCTCCTTGTCCTCCTCCTCCTCCTCTTCCTCCTCCTCCTCCTCCTGCTCCTGCTCCTCCTCCTCCTCCTCTTCCTCCTCCCCATCCTTCGCCCTCCTCCACGTCCCATCCACTATCCTCGAAAGACTCGGTGGGTGGGGGGGCTGAAAGAGGAGGTAGGGATGAGGAGAAGGAGGAGGGGAAGGATGAGGTGGACCTTTTAGGTTGAACCCCGGAAGGAATTTTGAATCACCTTGACTTTCCATGCCTCGGCCCCCTCCATTTCCTTTTTCCTCCATTCACTATCCCTCCTTTTCCTTCTGCCTCATCCATCGTCATCTGATGACGGTCAGAGCCACCATCACGACGACCGCGACAGTGGGGACGATGCCGACGACCACCACGATCACCATTACAACGACGACGACGACGACGACGACGACGACGACGACGACGACGACGACGACGACGGCGGCGACGGTGGCGGCGACGACGACGACGACGACCACGGCGACGACGACGACGACCACGACGACGATGACGACGACGACCACGACCACGACGACGACGACGACCACGACGACGACGACGACGTCGACGACGACGACCACGACGACGACAACGACGACGCCAAGTACGACGACGACGACGACGACGACAACGACGACGACCTCCGCCCACCGACTGTCCGCTGCGGCGGCGACGCCGCGCCGCGACGCCCCGAGGAGCTCGGCGTGGTCCTCGAGGGTGGCGCCGTGGCTCCGGCGCCCGCCGCCCCGGACGGCCCCGCCCCAGCGGCCTCGATGCCTCGGCGAGGTTTCGGCCAGCGCCTCGGCGAGGCCTCGGCGAGGCTTCGACGACGCATCGGCCTCGGCGACGCCTCGGCGAGGCGTCAGCGGGGCGTCGGCGAGGCATCGGCCAGCGCGCCAGGGAGGTCGCGGTTTCCGGAGAGAAGGGGAGGAAGGATGAGGAGGAGGACGAAGGATGAGGAGGAGGAAGAGGATGAGGAGGAGGAGGAGGAGGAGGATGAAGAGCAGCAGCAGCAGCAGCAGAAGGAGGCATGGTGGCGTTCGAGTCGAACCCCGAAGCAGACAGCGACAGCAGGAGCGGCAGCAGGAGGTGGAGCAGCAGCAGGAGGAGAAGGACGGTTCCGCACCGGCGTCAGCATGCTGTCCCTCGAGGTGACCCCCTCCTCCTCCTCTCCTCCTCCTCCTCCTCCTCCTCCTCCTCCTCCTCCTCCTCCTCCTCCTCCTCCTCCTTCTCCTTCTCCTCCTCCTCCTTCTCCTCCTGAGGAGTGCCAGGTCAGGCCGTGTTGGTGGCTGGCCTAGGCCCGATCGTGGGGGCCCAGCTACCCAGCACCCCGAGGGAGGCGCCTGGAGGACGCCCCTGCCCCAAGACCAGCACGGCCCGCCTCCGAGCAGCTCGCGCGCGACAGCAAGCACAGGAGACACAGTCTGGGGTCCAACGGCGGCCCCGAGCTCCTCCTCCTCCTCCTCCTTTGATCCTCCTCTCCTCCTTTCCTCCTCCTCCTCCTCCTCCTCCTCCTCCTTCCCTCCGCCTACTCCCCTCCTCTCCTCCTCCTCCTCCTACTCCTCCTCCTCCTCCTTCCTCCTCCTTCCCTCCTCCTCCTCCTCCTCCTCCTCCTCTCGGACGCTCAAGCTGCAGACCTCAAACGTACCCGAGGGCAGATTGATCCTCTGGTTGCAGAAGCTGCGGTTCCACACGGCCTTCGCGGGGAACTTGATGTCGCACTCCCTCGGCCGCCTGGCGGCGTGCTGCTGCCGCTGCCCTCTGAGACGTCCAAGCTGCAGACCTCGACGCACCCGAGGGCGGCACGGCATGCGGGGGGAGCTGCGACCACGCACCTCTCCCTCTCTCTGTGCGGCAGAGGCCCGACGATGAACGATTGGCTCGTGCTCACGCCCTCTCCCTCTCTCTCCCTCTCTCTCTCTCTCTCTCTCTCTCTCTTTCTCTCTGTCTCTCTCTCTTTCTCTTTCTCTCTGTCTGTCTGTCTGTCTGTCTCTCTCTCTCTCTCTCCCTCTCTTTCTCTTTATCCCTCTCTCTCTCTTTCTCTCTCTCTCTCTGTTTTCCTCGGGTCCGCGCCTGTGGCTGTGCGAGGAGCGCCTTGCCCATCTCCCGCGGCAAGTCACGCTCAGAGCAGCGCGTCGAGATTGCGCAGTTACCCTCGCTTGGAGCTCCGCGCTGGGGGGGGCCCTGCTGGAGCCACTCCCGCGAGGTTACTCTGCGGGAAGCGGGCCGAACTCCTGGCAGGTCGTGTCGAGGCAGTAGCCGTCCGGGCCGTCCTCGTCCTTCTCCGTCTCCTCGTCCTTCTTGCTTCCTTTTTCTCCTCCTCCACCTCCTCCTCCTCATCCTCCTCATCCTCCTCCTCATCCTCCTCCTCGCTCTCGTAGGTCTGGCTGGCCTC